AACTATGCAAATCCTGACAAGCTGGGTGACCTAGGATACGTCATGTAATGTCTTCATGCCTCAGTTTCCCAATCAATAAAATGAACATGATAATAGACTGTGTCTGGGGACAGAATTAGGGAGATGGAGGAGGGAGTAGGTGGGAGGAAGGAAGTACAGACATCGTAATATCACGTCTTTTTTGCAGTGCTCTTGATTCTCTGTTCTAGTAGTTTCCAAGCAGATGTGCTTTTGTCACAGAAAGAGAAATTTGGCATGTCGACCTAAAGACGAAGCATTATATAGTTGCAAAAGGGTTAGGCTATGGAGTTGGACAAAGCTGGGCTTGAATCCTGGCTCTTGGCCATTACTAGGTGTGTGATCTTGGGCAAGACACCAAACTATTCAAAACCTAAATTTCCTTATCTGTTCAATGGAGCTAAATGTAGTACCTTTATCATGGGCTGTGAAGATTTGATCATTTAATAACTGTTTATTGAGCACCTACTATGTGCTAAGTAGAGCTCCGAATGGTGCTCAAAAAAGAGAAGGGCCCTGTTCTCATAGACAATTTGGTGACCTAACTGAGACAAAGCTCTTAGCATGTGGAGTAACAAATAGCAAGCACTCGATGCATGCTAGCTATTATTGGTATTACTCTCCCTTCTCCATGGGAAGACTGCCCTCCCCGTGCTGTTAATGATCTATGTCCCCTGCTCTTCATCAGTTTCCCAAAAAATAGGGGATGGGACTTCCTGCAGTTATCCATACTCCCTCCAGCAGCCCCCTGGTGACCAGCAGGTTTGTAAAACAGTGACCTGCATTGAGGGCTGGGACCCATGGCTGTGTGAGGGAAAAGCCAACTGGATCCAACCTGTGTCATGGTTCAATAGCCACCACTGGATCAACAGGCCACAGACATGGCTCGATTTAACATTCCAGACTCCCGGGAAACCCGCTGTCCCCAGAAAGCCTCTCTCTGGGCACACAGACTGAGGTGACTTCTTCGGGGGAACTCGCAAGCCCAGGTGAGGCTGCTCAGGCTCCTCATTAACTGTATTACCTGTCACTACCCCAGAGCCACAGGCTTTCTCCCTCGCCCGAGACTGTTCCTAAACAGTTGAGACTGCTCTTTTAAACGTGGTAGTGGCCCAGCAAGAAGAATCCTTCTCCCTTTCCTCTTCCCAAGAAAGGACTAAACAGTTTTCCCATGTCAACAGCAGAAACTTTCATTTCCTTTTTTTTCATGCTAGAGGAGCAGAAATGGGATCATGAGTAATTAGTTGGTTACTGGTTGCTCTTCGTTTATCAACAGTAGGTGACGGTGGGAGGAACTCATGTTTACTGAGGGCAACCTATGTGTGCCTACCAGTTACCTGATTTAATCCCTGTGACAACCCTGTGAGATAGAAATCATCTCCATTTTACAGATGAGAAAACTAAGGCTCAGAAAGGTTAAGGCATTCACCCACTGCCACACAGCTACTAAGAAGCATTCTGAGAATTCAAACCCACATCTGACTCCAAAACCCCATGCACTTTCTATTCTATGGTCCCAAAATATTTTCAGAGTGTGTGTGTATCACTTGGTCCAGACACTCTGCCATGGTGGCTGAGCCCTCGGGCAGTATGGTCTTTGATAGCACACTGGAAACTGCTGTGGATGACCCTCTTCTCTCCCCTTGGGCCAGATGCCTCGCTCCTTCATTAGGAGCCTGGGAAAGGCTGATCCATGCAGCACTCTGGTTTCCCATTCCCAAATGCCAAGCTTCAGTGCATCCTTAAAGTGGTGCCTGAGTTCTCCTGCCACACTACTGGCCAAGTGACCGACAGAGCAGTGCCCAGCATCATGAGGAGGAGCTCCTTGCTTCCTGCTGCTCCCCAGGCCAACCTCTCCAATTCAGACACCCTCATCCCAAATTTTAAGACAATTCTACCAAGGCAGAACTTTTGCACTGAATCTGTCCAAAAGCACTATTGTGGTCAACAAACTCACGGCTTACAGAGGGCTTTGTACTCTTCAAAGCACTTCTGCATCCCAACAATTCTGTGGCGTCACAGCTAGGAAAGTTGCATTATTATTATTATCATATTTTCTTATTCCCACTCTACAGATGAAAAAAACCAAGGTCCAAAGAGGCATGAGGACATGCCTATAGTAATGCTGTCCAGTCTGAGAGTTAGCGCTCGGCCTCTGAAGTGGCCTTTGAACAATATCCCAGGGGAGGTCTTGTTTTTAAGCCCTGCAGAAACGCCGTTTACACGATGACAATTACTATCCTAATCACAAATCTCTGGCCATAATTGTGGATCTCTCTCAAATGCTTATTGTGCTGGGCCCCGTGCTGCATGCTTTATTTCTCGTGTATTATTTTGTTTGATACAATCCTGAAGAGTAGGTCCCATTATTACTTCCTATTTTACAGCTGAGGAAACTGAGGCTCAGAAGGCTTAGACGACATCCTCAAAGCCAACAAAGCTTGGAAGTGGCAGACTATAGACACAAAGCAAGGACTATGCTCCACTATAGTGCCTCTAAAGTTGGGTTCAATACAGAAGCCACTAGCCACTTAAGTAAAATAAAATTACTCAGTTCCTCAGTCACGCTAGCCACCTGCAAGTGCTCATAGCTGCACATGGCCAGTGGCTATCATGGACATCACAGATAGAGGTCACTTCCACTATCACAGAAACTTCGATTCAACAGCGCTGGTCTAAACACTCTTAAGGGCCAGGTGCGGTGACTCACACCTGTAATCCCAGCACTTTGGGAGGCTGAGGCAGGAGGATCGCTTGAGCTCGGGAGTTAGAGGCTGCAGTGAGCTATGATCTTAAGGTTGGTCCTCATCAGACCGCTACCTTGGTAACATGTTATTTATTAGTTTAAGGCAGGGTTTCGCAATCTCTGGGCATTATTGACATTTGAGTCCAGAAAATTCTTTGTTGGAGGATGGGGGCAGCTCTTCCTGTGCATCCTCAGGTATTTAGCAGCATCCTTGGCCTCTACCCACTATGTCAGTTGCTCACCCTGTCCCCAGGTTTAACAACAAAAAATGTCTCCAGACATTGCCAAATGTCACCTTAGGGGCAAAATTGCCCCCTATGCCCACCCCCAAGTTGAGAACCCCTGGGTTAAGGTTAGTCCCATTGTGTATTTGAAGTAATCAAATGGCAAGTCTTCACTAACTCAACCTGGCCTTCTGAAAGCAGGCCAATTTGCTGAAACTCATTTCTTCTAGCAAATTGTAAAGCTTATAGCAATTTGCATTGAATGAGTGGCTTTAATAGCTATTGAAGATTTCGTGAAGTAGTAAAACCATTTAAAGCAGCAGGACTAAGAGTGAACATGCCAGGAAGGGATTACTATAATGTACTGTAGGATTAGTTCCTCAAATTTGCTATCTGTTAACCACAACTATGAAATTGTAAAGGAAAGATAAGAAAAGATTGGTTAAAAGCTAAAAGAATGTTAACGTAGAAAATCAATTAGGAAATGACAGAAGTAATTACATCATGTACTACATTTTGGCTACTGATTTCCAGAAAAAACAAACAACAAAACATTGTGCTATTTGAGAAATTGGTGGCAGAATCCCCAAAATGCTCAAGTTGGCATAACAGAAAATGCGCTTTCGAAGGATTCAGGAAAAACTAGTGCACGAAAAATAAGTATTTCAGGTGATGGATATGTTAATTAATTCAATTTAGTCATCCCACAATGTATACATATATCAAAACATCCTGTCGTAAAACATAAATATATACAAATATTCATTTGTCAGTTTAAAAAATAATAAAATTTTCTTAAAGAAGCTAGTATAAGCATTTCCATATAATATGCTGAAATTTTGGCCCTAATTAAATAATATGCTTTATAATATACATGTTTAATATATTCCCAGGGAAACTAAACCACCCTACAACAAATGGAATGCTGCTAAAGACCAAATGAAACCTGTCAACTGCATATTCAGAGAAATCTCTGAAACCTTTTAAAACCATTTTCTCCTAAATGAATTTTTGTGAAGACTTAAATATTTTAACTATGTTGTAAATAGTCAAAAGAAAGAAACTTTAAGTAAACTGGTAAATATGGCAAATAGTTTATTCAAGAAATTGCCGGAGAGCCAGCCTTTCCCCACACCTCCTCAGAGAGTGAGGCTGGGGGCCTGGGACACTACCTGCCACTCCTTCAGCACCCACCAATTAATTCTCCTATTGCTCTCATGAGTGAAAAATGCGACAGGCAGATGCCACAGGGTGAATGCGGGTTAGCAAAATGCAACGCCCAAACTGGGCCCCTCGCCAAGGGATTTGAGTTAACAGCCTTTCTTCTAAAACTAATGAAAAAGAAAAAGTAAAGAAAAAAAATCAGGCTCCAGAATGAGTGTCTAAGAAAGAAGGAAGAAGGAAGGAAGGAAGGAAGGAAGGAAGGAAGGAAGGAAGGAAGGAAGGAAGGAAGGACAAGCAGGGAAGAAGGGAGGGAGAGAAGGAAGTCAAGTGCCAAAGGGATCTCTAATGATCACATTAAATACTCTTAATTACAGTGAGGAGTAGAAATTGGGTCTGAGCTGGCAGGCTGAGAAGCTGCAGCTACACATTTCTCGTGCTTTCTGACCGCCGAAACTTGCCTTCCAGACTTCATGTCCATCATGGTTCCCTGGGCACAGCTAGGTATGCAGCTAGACCTTGTGCTCAGGCGAACCGGTTGCAGATGCGATGGGGAGATGGCCCCAAGACTGTCAGCCACTGGAGAGACCTGCAGGGTTGCATCTTCTCTAGCATCTGGGTTCCAGGGAGCTACCCAGGGCCAAGAAAGAATGCATGGACCTTCTAAATTTCAGCAACTGGAGCTCATTAAAAGTCAATATTTGTGGCCTCTAATCTCAAATAGCAACCCACACTGCTTTCGGAGGCATCAGGAAAGTTTTATAGCCAAGGGGAGTAGGCTGGCACATAATTTGCAATAATTATTCCCTGCTCAGGTGTCGGGTGCCTGTTGCAGAAGCTCTCAGCTTGACCTTCCTGAATCCTGTTCTTAAAGTAGGAAAAGCTGACTAGCATGGTGTGTAGGGCTCCCCGACCTGGCCAATGCCCCCAGATGACCACCAATCCTTGGAATGACACAAAAGCATCCAGGTCCTATTGAGATGCACGCTGTCAGGAGTTAATCCATTAATGCCCACGAACCTAGCATGGCAGGTCAGTTGGTCAAGAGCTAGGCCCTGGGGCACAGGAGGCAACGTGTTAGCTGGGGGAAGGCCACAGCCTAGGAGGCCAGAGTAGGTACTCACTATTTTTTGATGTTTACGGAGTCTCCTATTCCTTGTAGGTCCTGCGAGGGCCTCCATGTCACTTCTGTATAGAGGCCCTGGCTCCTTATTCTCCTCAAATGCCTTCTTATCATTTCTCCTGGTCCTTCAGCCCGGATTCAATAAACCATCACTTGAGCTCAGGCCAAGACTTCTTCACCTGAGACCATGAAAATAAGCCCTTCGGTCCACTGCATCTCCCTTTCCCACCCCAAAGACCTTAGGCTGCCCCAGATGCCCTCCACAGAAAGCAGACATTAGGATGAAGGGGACCTAAGAAAGGCTCCTCGTTCGTTTGTAAGTATGGAATCTAACACAAACCGGCACATTCCTGAGCCCAGGGAGGAAGGATCTGGAAATACCTGGAAGCAAGAAGGTTACCATTATCATCTCCCCTCATCCTCCCAAAGCATTCACTGTCAACCTCTCTGTCATCTGGTGCTACTGTGAATTACACAAAGAAAGCCTCGTAATTTCCACAGCACCCATCCAACGCCATAGATTGAGGGCACTACAGTGAGGTGAGAGCCGTGGAGACGGGGTTTTAAAATAGTTGCCAATGACACTTTTTGTATGAGGATCAGTGGTGTTTCAAGAGTCCAGGCCCACTCACCACCAGAAGAGTGGGAGCGTGCTGTGATGCTGATCCTCAGAAAGAAGCAGAAAGGGACAGTCTACCCACACCTCCACGCTGGAACCACCAGATGAAGTGCCCGTAAAAATCCTATGGAATGCCGCTTTGGGCCTGCAGGCCACAGGCTGCCAGCCCTGGTCCATACAGTGTGTTTCCGTGGTGGGAGAGAACTCCAGGTGATTCCATGCAACCCTCAACTACTGGAGACCTGCAATGAGTGTGGGGGGTTTCTGGCTGTGATTCCAGGTCAGAATAGCTAAGGGAGAAGAAGAGTGTCGGCTCCATGAATGAAAATGGGAAATAATCATGTACACTCGCATATCCACTAATTAACCATATGTCTAAATCCATTTGGGTTAATGTCTTCTTCCTGTCGGTGCTGCTTTAAATAGGCACACAGATGCACACACATCCAAAACCAACACTGCGGACACACGGTAAGAATACAGTTCTTGGAGGTAGTACCCCATCAAGTGACTGGGAGACTGCAGGTACAGTATGGGTTGAAATAAATTGAGAAAATGAGGACAACTCAGAAAATTTAAGGTGATTTTCTCCACTCATCCAAACTCCCCTCTCTCTGCTCCCCTCCCTTATGTCTCCCTACAAGATCATTTATTCTCAGTCACACTGGCTGCCAGACTGGAGCCAAAACACCATGTCCCGGTGTAATGGAACCACATTATTTGACGTTATTATTACTGAGAAAGTTATTTTAATGTTGTTATTAGCCAATGAAATTAGCCTTGCAAAATCCAGGTTTGTGGGGTGTTTTATTTTAAGCCGACGTTGGCTAGGTTTCTTGACACATGCAAGTCAGAACCTATAGCTTTGCCCCAGTCTCTCTCTCTAGCCTGTTTTATAAACATCCTCCTCGTGCAGCTCTCCCTTCTCAGACTCTTGAGCCATTTCTTACAAACTCTGGCCAAGCCAAGGCTGCAGGAGTGCCACAAAGTACCCTTGCACCAAAAGGCTGGGAAGCAGAAGCGCATGCCTGGAAACCCCAGGAATAACTCCGGTATTTCCACACCAGTCACTGTGGCTCGGCCAAGCTTCCCCTTCTTCGGTGCTTCCCTCCTTCTCGCCTTTGCAAGTAATCTACAGGAACTGCAGCAGCCTCGGGAATACGCCGCCTTCCCGGCCAGGCCCCTGGCTCCCTGGGGCTCGGGCGAGCCAGGCAGGGGCGCCGGCGGGAAGGAGAGGTAGCCTGAAAGGTGGGGAAGGCTCGCGGCGTCCAGCTCCCCGCGCTGCCCCACGCGGGGTGGACCTGTCTGTGCCCCCGACCCGCCGAGTCCTGCATGCAGGGCTGAGGGCGCCCCCGCCGCCGAGCTTTCCCACGCACACGCACACCTGCGCGAGCCCTCCCGGGAGGGCACCGCCTCCAACCGGTGGATGCACCAGCCGCGAGGCAGCCAGTTCGAGCCCCAGAGGCAGCTCGGTGCCCGCCACCCAGCCCTAGGTTGCTCCTCGCTGCCTCTCTTGGGGCGAAAACCCCACTTGGGCGGGTAGGGCCCCCCCCCCCGGCACGGGCAGCCGGCGCTCTGCCACCCTCCACTCCGTGGTGTCTAGTGGGAGCAGGTCGGCTGCGCCCGCCACTTACTCTGAAGTCTCGAGGCAAGCATAAAAGCCAGCCATGGTGCTTCGGAGGGAGCTGCTGCCCGTTTGCGCGCCTTGCCTGTTGGGGTACAGGGAGCCCGCGCTGCGGGCAGGCCCTTGGTGGCTGCCACGTGGGGGCAGCTCTGCACTCCAAGCGCCCACACGCGCGGAGCCCCAGACCCGCGGCCCAAAGAAATAACCAGTCAAATAAAGTTTCTTCTCCAAGGCCTCTCGCTGTCTTCTGATCTGGATCCAAAAAGGGCTGGCCTTGTTCCTTACATGGTTAGAAACTAACTCCCCTTTTTCCTCTGCCTCCAACTTCCGGCGACCACAGCATCCTTAGTGCAAAATACCAGATGCTCTTTCTCAGCCTCTCTGTGTCCCTGCAGGGCTAGCGAGTGTGAGGAATAATTTGGAGGGGAAACCCTAAAGAGAAGGTAGAGGCTTTCATGGGGCAGGGAAGGACACTCAAGGGCTTTGGGAAGGAAATGTAAATAAGTTGGCTTTTGGCATTTTAGATTGAGCAGGCTGAGCAGAGCAGGTAGCAGAGGGGAGAAGAGAGAGGCTGGGGCAGAAAGGAAATTTAAATGGCAAGACTGCAAGCATTCCCACCTCCATCTGAACGCTGTTTTTGACAGTGTTCTAAATTGTTCTTGTTCCATCCTAAGGAAAACGATTTACTCCCTTAACCAGCCAGGGGCCACAAACCAAAAAAGCAACACTTTCTTTACAGTTGTGAAATCTTTCCTGTCCTGAGATGAAAGTCCCTACCAAAGACTGTGTATACACAGTGGACCCCAGCTATAACATGGCTTAAGTTACCTGGATTCAGAGATGTTGCTGATCAGATTGAGCCTGCAGGAAACCTGAAGAACTGGAGAGAGAGAGAATGCAAGATGTGACCTAATATCTGCTGCCTGGAGGGCCCAGTAGGGAATCTTTCCCACTCACAGTTCCATAAAGGGGTGTGTGTCTCTACCCTGGCCTCTGAGACACACAGATATGCAGTATTTTGATTTTTGAAGCGTCTAGTGGGAGTGTGAAAGCAAAGCAAATGCGGATGCAGGCTTTCGGCTTTTTAGAATGACTTTGAGGAATCAAGTGTTTAAAAAGGTTAAGATTTCTCCTGTGCATGCATGGGTGGGGGTTATTAAACACCGCCCATCCAGGCCTAATCTGACAGGTTTTCTTAATCAGGCTGACCCAAATAAGAATAAGAAGAAAGAATAAATCCAGGCTGGGGGCCTTTCAGGGGGTCTTCGCCAGTCTGGTAGCATAGGGCCTGCCTTTTCCTTCCATCTAAAATAGGTAACATCCTGCTTCTAGAATTTCACTGGGTAAGTAGACTGGGGTCTCTGGAACAGGGCAGTGCATGGGACCCTCTCTTCTTAACTTTGGGGAGGGGGAACGTAATTGAAAAAGGACTGTAGATGCTGAATCCTGACTTGTGCCTAGAATTTCTAGCTAGAATTTGTGATTTGTTGTCCATGATTCATATGTGGCTGTGGCTTACCCACTTAGTGGATTTTCTGAAATTATGTTTTTAATCAAGGAGTAACTCTTGGAGTACCTACCCCAGCTGTAATGTCAGTGGGTGGTTAGGAAAGACCAATTTTAATGTTGGCCAGAGAAGAAGCTAATTAGGAAGGCAAATCTGTATCATTCCCCTCCCACCCAAATAGAACACACTCTGAAAACCATGGAATTTTGTTGTTTGATTATGCTTGCTTTGTGATTATTTGCCCAATCCCTTCCTTCCATCGCTTCGAATAATCAGGAGTAGGATCCACAGAAAATCCATCCTATAATTCCCAGGCTGAGCTGATAGCTCCTTTTACTGAACTCTCACAGCGCTTGTGGTCAGGGCTCTGGAGTCAGAGTTGGATTCAAATCCTGACTCTGGTTACATTTCTGAGGTGTGATAACTGCATTGTGATTTTTGTAGGAAAATGTCTTTTTTCTTAGGAGATATATGCTGAAGTATTTAGAGGGGAAATGTAATGATGTCTGCAATTTATGCTCAAATAGGTCCAAAAATACATAGGAGTGTGTGTGTATGTATGTATGTAGGTGTTTGTATATATATAGAGAGAGAGAGAAAGAGAATGATAAAGCAAATGCAGTAAAATGTTAATAGTTGGTGAATATAGGTAAGGTATATATGGGTCTTCATTATGGTATTTTTTTCACCTTATCTGTAGTTTTGAAGTGTTTTAAAAATAAAACAGTTGGTGATAAAATCTTAGCTCCGCCTGCCCTTATCAACTGTGTTGCAGTAAATGATGTACTCTTTGCAAACCTGAGTTCCCTTGGCCCTAAAATGGAGATATGAACAGAACCTATCGCAAAAGGTTGTTATGAAAATTAAAATGGGATAATAAGTGTGATGCCTTTAGCATGGTGCCTGTCCCTTAGGAAGGCCTCAATAACTGATGAGAATTGCTACTGTGCCATTTTCATTTCACATTTGATGATATACTATCTTTTACTGTTCTCAAGATATTTCAAATGCATATATCTTGTCTCCTTGACTTAGATCTTAAGCGTCCAGAGGGCAAGACACATTTCTTACATTTTTTTCTTGTATCTACGGTAGTACCTGGCACAGTGCTGAGTGAATCATAGATAGTGAATAGAATACTTTGTTGAGTGACTTTGTGGTTACTGCTCTGTGGGATCTGTGATCATAGCATTGACTTGAAAATAATCACATGTCATTATGAGGGACCAGTAGAAGAAAATATTAGCATAATATGGTGGAAGCTGGATAAGAGGATAAGACTACAAAAACAACTATTTGAGAAATAGATTTCTTTTTAATTCTTAAAACTGAAGGTGGATACTTTCATGCATACCCAGGATTTGGGAAAGTGTCCATCTTTTATGAATCCTAAAAGGGCATACATTCCATTAGTTGACATTTAGGATGGGAATGACCTCTACTAAGCAAGTTGGGCTCATCCTTAGGATGCCAGGTCAATAAGGCAGATTTCCAGGGGTAGCAGAGCTCAGCTGCTCCCTCCCAGCAAAAGGTACAAATCTTGTGAGTGACACCTCCCTGCACCCAGCTCCTAGATAAATGCATCCGTTGCTGTTGGAGGGACTCTTACCTTCCTGGCTCTAACCAACGATTCCAGTGAGTTTAAAACATGCA